ATAGAGAACTGCGCATCAGTAAGTAGATGAATGTTGCACATACATGATTGAACCAACACACGATTTATTACAACGTAGGCGTGAATATGGTAATCATCTGGTCTTTTTCATAATATGGATTCAAACGAGAGTGTAATATAGTACGGAAACGATCAAGAAATTTTCTTCGTGATAACAACTACTTGGCAAACCATCCTTACATTTCAATGGCACGTTTCTATTCAGGAAATTCATCAAGATACACTCAATACTAGAAGAACTCTGACAATTTATTCGTTTTCCATCAATCAGGACAATGCTTACCGCATATAAATATACATCTTTCGTTATAAATATAGTGAGCGTTAATGATAGATCTCTTAAATTTTCTTTTATTCTACGTTGAAGAGTGTCTGTAGTGATAAAGATCTTTCTTGGACCGACTGTCTAATCACACCGGTCTCCATGAGACCAATGCAGTTTTGTCTATTCAACATTTTTATATCTGAGAGAATAGAACTAATTATGAACACTGAGTGCAGGCAGTAAAAGCTCTACTCTCTCGTCGTTTTGTCATGCATGGCTTATTACTTCGTCTTATATACAAAATAAGTGGAGAGAGCCTACGAACTCTATGAAGTTATGTTGTCTTATCCCATGGCTCGTAATCATTTAAATAAATAAGTAAGTCATCCGATAAAAACGAAATCCGTTCGACAACATAATGGGATCGAAAACAACAATGAACTTATCATTCTTCCAACATTCATACTCTTCATTCATCTCATTTTCTCTTTGTCACGATAGTAAGTATACTTGATGAACTACGATATTCATTCGGTTCGGTCTGGAAATTGATTTTATCTTTGTTGAATAGATATATATATTTATTGACATTCTTTCTTTCGCGCATGATAACTTTCTATTGTCATGCCATTACGGAATGCTAATAATAGTCATCATATTCAAAGCAGGAAATACATAAAGAAAAGAAATATGACGCAGATCATATCGCGCTGTTGAAGTATGTGCACCTACTCGTCAAACGTCTGCTATGTCATCTCATTCTATTGTTTCTCGGTAATTGCCATTACCGATATTAATCTTTCTGATTCTCATAATCATTTTCCTGGTTTTAACCTTCATGCAGTACGTATATGTGTATGATTGATTAAGTTAAGATCACAGGTCAGGTTCTTTAGCCAACAAATGTGATTTCGGAAACATCAGATTTGTGAGGGAACGGTTAAGAATGAAACCCTCAGAGATTGTATGAGGAAAAAAGAATGTTTTTTTCTTTCTACGCATAGGATTAGTAACATTCATATATATCAAAGTAAGATCTTAGTAGTTCCTATGTAATTGCGTAATAACACCATTAGAAGTAGAAAAAAAAAGGATAGTCGCCCGAGCAGGGGCTCGAACCCTGGACATTGTGGTTAAAAGCCACACGCTCTACCGACTGAGCTACCCGGGCATGCCTATTGTTGAAGACTTTTCCCTGTCGATCAGTTATATAACACTTAAGATCACACTATTGACAAGTTTGAATGTTATATGAACGGTAAAATACATCCAATCATCCTTCGTTTGTATCCTCTGTACGTTAGTATAGCTCTTTTTTCATTTGATCGTGTTGCACTTTTTAGAACAGGCAGGCCGTGAGCTATTTAATAAAAAATCCGTGATTCCAAAGGGCGTCACTCAATTCGGTAAACACTGTTCATTTATATGAACACGGCTGACAGGAAAACATCGATAGAAATACTGTCCACACGATAATAAAACGCATAATGGCGATTATTTACCCTAGATATGACTAGAGTTTCATGAATAATAAATATGATGCCAGCTGTGTGAGTAGCGAAGACACTGCATTGCACTATTGTTTATTAGGTACTTTACAATAAAAATTATGACTTGTTATTGACTATGTGAATAATTATCTCACCATCGCTAATGGTATTCTCTTTGAATGACTCTTTAACTGCACACGAGCATATTGAGGAGATAAAACAGAAGATCTCATTTGTGTAGATAGAGTTTTTAAACACAAAACTAAATCGTGCAATGCGTTCAAATTTTAATGAACAATAAAAAAAGTAATCATAAGTGACATACAGAAATAGTTGATTAGTATATTAGGAAAAAATAATTGAATTTTCAATTTGAAAAAAGGTAGTCGCCCGAGCAGGGGCTCGAACCCTGGACATTGTGGTTAAAAGCCACACGCTCTACCGACTGAGCTACCCGGGCACGCTTCCTATGTAGTCAATAGTTGTTTATGGGTTATGTAATCATTACATAAACGAAAAAAAGAATTTTCGAAAATTATATTTTATTGAACAAAAAATGATAGTCGCCCGAGCAGGGGCTCGAACCCTGGACATTGTGGTTAAAAGCCACACGCTCTACCGACTGAGCTACCCGGGCATGTCTACCCTTCACAGTGAATCGATCTTGTTTGTTACATAATAGTTATAAAGATTGTAAGAATTATTGAAAACTATATATCCTGTTAAAGAAAAAAAACAAGATCGCCCGAGCAGGGGCTCGAACCCTGGACATTGTGGTTAAAAGCCACACGCTCTACCGACTGAGCTACCCGGGCTGACTTTCACTTCACATTAAATCAAGATCTTTCGTTATATAATAGTTGTAACAACAGCAAAAGATCTTTGGCAATATAGAAAAAAGATGACCGCCCGAGCAGGGGCTCGAACCCTGGACATTGTGGTTAAAAGCCACACGCTCTACCGACTGAGCTACCCGGGCATGTCTGTCCTTCAAACTATGCCGACGTCGTTCGTTACGTAATAATTTGAATAATAGAAAAAGAACGTGAAAATGATCTTTGATCAAATAACAGAAGGTTAGCAGCGTTCACATAAGTTTTAGAAAGAAGAAAAGAGCTTTTTAGTTGTGCACTGCAGTACTGGTATGAGAAATATCACTATATACTTTCCTCGAACAATGCGTATGCTTGTGTTATGAGCGGAAAGGAAAAAACTCGGAGGAAATTTGAGTGAATAAGTTTTTTTTCAGAAAAAAATTCGTGATTGCCACGAAAAAAGGTAGTCGCCCGAGCAGGGGCTCGAACCCTGGACATTGTGGTTAAAAGCCACACGCTCTACCGACTGAGCTACCCGGGCACACTCACCTCTCTAGAATCATTCCAGTCGTTGTAAAACGATATATCACGGTTCATACGGTTGCCGGAAATTATCCCTTTGAGTTTGCATCGCAACCAATACCATTCTCGTCTGTCCGTGTTCTTTATACTTCTTGTTTGACATAGGAGTCATTAGAGTCTATGACACACAGATTTGATATTTAATATTGTTTCTTCGTATTAGCTCTCAATTTATTTCTCCATGATTGTAATAAAGCACGGACATCATTTTCCGTCATTCACACTAGATTTAATCGAAAATATTTATCAACATCGATCGAACGCAAATAACAAACTGCATTATCGATAATAAACCAGAAATGCACAAATTCCATTTTGTGACCTCCGGAAATTCTTCACAACACTTCTTTTTCTGCTCTCATCTAGGTCTATTTTGTTGACATAGCTAACTAAAAGAGACAGTAAACTTATAAGTAGAAAAGTACTTCATCTGTCAGAGCTTGCTACAGTTCATCATCCTATAATCTCTCATGAAACTATATAGTGTATCCACTATTTTGATCAACTTCGTACTAAATATAGAATCCTATGATATATATATATACTGCTCTAGGTCTAATGATAATCTTCTATTTACACCGAAGCTTGCATTCTTTTGTAAAATATATATATATATAGAGAGAGAAAGTATTTTCACGCAGATATATTTATAAGTTTGTAATAATTTCTCTTTGTACTTTAACCAATGAACTGAATCTATTCGTTTAATAATACATGAACCTAGACGAAGATTATTAGTTTAGAATAGAGCACTACAATGCCGTTATTTACAAAGAACACATAAAAAGAAGAAATTCAAGACTCATCAAGAGTGTATTCAATTTGTTATCGTACTGCCTCAATATATATAGTATATATTATACCGAATACAGATAGAAAGCTCATTTTATTGTGATGTATATGTTTTTTTCTGTTTTTTTTTATCGTGAAATCACAAAAGAGACTGAGTTCTTTTGAAGAAAGAGATGACGTCTGTGTTTAGGAAATATCTAGACAAAAAAAATCAGAATGACAAACGACAACACTAATAGAAATATTCATTCTGCATGACGCATCCTAAAAGGATGAATAATAAAAAGAGGATGCGTGCATGTGCTGAAACTGTAATAATTCGATGTTTCTAGCAGAATCCGACGTCGACGTTGAGGACGTAGATCAACAGGAAAACGAAGAAGAAGGAGAAGAAAAATTGATGGTAGTTTTCTTTTTTTTTCTTCTTCTTCTCTCACACTCTTTCTGTCTCTGCCTCTCGGTCCTCTTGTTATTTTGCTCGTTTTCTTGCACTTGAACGTTCTTCAAGCTTTTCTCTTCGCCGTTCTATACTTTATATTCTTTCGTCACTATTCAATAAGACTAAGTGAAGAAGTATTTTTCTTGTAAATAATATGCGTCGAGATTCAATAATCTTCTTGAGACTACACTATTGAAGCAAATTCAGCGCAGGTAACAACTACAAACTAATATTCATGTTTAATATATCAGAAAGAAATGCATCGGACATTACCTTCTTCGTCTTATGTCAATGCCGAAGCATTAAGTCGATCGAAAACGGAAATAAACTGATGTAAACACTAGCTTTTTTTCTTTTCATTCAGTCTGTAACTGTAGGCTAATATGCGAGTATCCGAATAAGTTCTCTTATCTTGCTTTTTTTACTATATATATCTACATATAGCCGCACAATCAAATGAGGTTTTTTTTTCTATATTCGATTTGTTTGATCAATGGCAGAAACTTACTTTGCATCAATCTTAGTTGATATAATATATGATAGAAATGAGATTGTAATCTTTTCATATTATTCTAGATTAGAACGTAATTGAAGAAAATGGAATCAAATAACGATTCATTACCATTATTATCTGACATTAATGAACGTTTTCGACGTGTACGTGAACTTGGTTCAGGCACTTACGGGCGCGTTCTTCTAGCTTTTGACCGTGACCTACAACAACGTTGCGCTTTAAAAATTCTACCTAAATCAACGACGAAATATCGTGATTTTCAACGTGAATACAATTATTCCTTATTATTGTCTCCACATCGTTCCATAATCAGCACATATGAAGATCGATGTTATCAGACAACGGATGCATTTGTTATAGTACAGGAATATGCGCCACTGGGTGATCTATTCGAATCAATACCCCCGCAACGTGGGCTACCTGAAAAAGCAGTGAAAACTATCATGAAACAAGTTGCATCGGCATTAGAATTCATGCATGATAAGGGATTAGTAAGTGTCGATGTACGTCATCGGATAGAAAAACGATGGAACATTCTTTTCCTTTAGGTTCATCGTGACGTAAAACCAGAAAATGTCATGATATTTGATGCAGATTTTCACAAAGTAAAATTAATTGACTTCGGTATGACGAGGAAATGTGGTTCATATGTTCGACGTCTTGTTGGAAGTATACCGTATTCACCTCCAGAGGTCTGTACTGCAATAAATAACGACATACTTGTTTCAACTACCATGGATGTTTGGGCTTTTGGCGTACTTTTATTTTGCTGCTTAACTGGTAAGAATAGGGTTATGAATGAATACTCAAAACAAAAGAAATGAATTATTTTTCTAGGCAATTTTCCTTGGGAGCATGCTCAAGAATCGGATGTTTACTATAATGAATATTTACAATGGCATAGGAGACAACAAGTACAACGTCGTTGTAAATTGCCGTCACAATGGTACAGATTTACGGGTCGTTTGATGAAATTATTCACAAAAATGCTTGGTAACAGAAGTTCAGAGAGAAAATGTTGCCGAATAGTCTTTAAATAATTTTAGATATTGACGCAACGAAACGATGTGAAATCACTGAAATTGGAAGATACTACGATGATCGATGGGTCCATGAGAATAGCTATCGTCGACGTTCGTCAAACGAGGATGAAGGCGTGGAAGAAGATTTTTCATCTTCAGGAAGCGGCGTGGAAACAAATGTAATAACAACAGGTTCGTCGAGTAACAATGATTTTGAAGAATTAACACAAATGATGAGAAATTCTTTAACAACGTTCGATAAATTACCATCGATGGACAGTCAACAAACGATAACATCAACGCAATTCACTTGAATACGACTACTGCTGATGATGATGGTGACAATCAAAACGAGCATTTCTCCGTCCGACAGTACAGAAAACGAAAAATTCCACGAGACTTGTATATTTTCTCCATGTACAATTCTTTATGTCTATATCATTTATTTTATGTATAAAAGCAAAACATGTTTTCATGTTCTTTCACGGGTATATTTAATGAAAAGAGTGAAGAATAATTTCATTGCTGTTTTCTTATCACCCTAAGAAGAAAAATACTTTTCCATTCTTCAGCCCAAGTGTTTTTAATTGAAGGACATCCCTATTTTCTAAAAATATTTGAATTTTAACAACCAGATTTCCGTTTTCTGTCTGCGTACGTCTATCGACGTATGGGCAATATCACCTGATCTCAATTTTTCCTCTCAGCCTACGCCGAAGACAATAACAATACTAATCATTCTATAATTATCTGAGAAAAAACTTCCTCACCAAGATTGACGTCAGATGTGTGTAACATAATTTGACATCTGAGCAAAAAAAACATCCCGCGAGAATTTCACACACTAAAGCACGTTCAAAGTCATATCATTAGAAAAAAAAGGAAAAGTAGAGAGAAAGAAATCTTTCTAATCTTTTTGTTTTTACGTCTTATTGATAATATATTCATGCGAACATCTCCAGAGAAATGTCTGAAATATGTGATGCTCGATGATATCTTATTCATCGTGATTCTAAAGAGAACTTTTTTTAAAATTATTTTCCTGCTTTGAACGACATGTGACATCGATTCGTTGACAGCTCTCGTCTGGATGTATAACTTTGATCGTTTACACGAGACAAAAGGCGGCATTTATTTGTTTGACGACGATCATCATCGTCTAAACCGAACTTCTGCGTTGAAGTTTATCTGAACGAAGAGTATGCGAGCGATGAAAAAGAATATTTTCGTCAAAATCGGTCTTCTTTTGTAATGCATAAAAAATGTCTTGTTGTGAAGTTCGCCGCGATCGAACTAGTGGTTGTTTTGAACTATTCATTAATTGTTGCTGATGCTGTTGTTTACGCTTAAACTTTTTCTTACATAATATCGGTATACAAAATGAAAACGACGAATGACCACGACACGAACATAACGATAGATTACTCGAACTATTACCGATTGTAATACGTTGTACACCAATAGGAGTTAATAGCGTTGGAATATCCTCGTCATCGTCTAAGGTTATGAAACGACCATTCGATGAAATGACATCGCCAACAACTCGAACTTGCTGTCGACGACGTTCTTCCAATTCGAAACGTTCGTGTTGAGAGCGTTTGGTATTCGTTTCAACGAAACGCAAGATCAATAGATTACCACTGGATGCGACGATTGTTAAACCTGTTAAGATAAACATGATGCAGAATAGAATATATAGCCAGCCAACGTTGCCATAATCATTCTTTTGCATAGGAACTAAATCTCCAAAACCTAAAACGAACAGTAGAACATTTTTGTATAAAAAGAGATGAGACGTGCATTTACGTACCAATTGTAGTTCTAAAATATAAATAAAATAGATTGAATTAGTTTTGAAATTTTCGAATTGTTTAAAATAGTTTTTAGAGAAAGCTTATCCTGTAAAAATATAGACTTGTCCTCTTAAACGCATTTGTCTGACATTTACTTATTCTCTAAAGTTTACAATGAGTAAACGGGTTTTAATCTGGGTCTACACTCAAGTAAAGTATAAGTCTATAAATCTTCTTGAACTATTTAGCTTAGAAGAAAACGACTGACGAGTTGATTTTTCCGAACGGCGTACTTACAAGGTCAAGAGGCAATAATAGAAAGCATCAAAGTAGCGCCAATTTTCATATCGATGAAATATATACGAACCAGTTGCAACAGTCAAAACCGTTAATAATGCTTCACACGTTAACAATTCCATAGCGGTGATTTGCGGTTCCTTTCTTTGTTGGAATTTCCGTTTAATGTGTTTTAATACAAATCTGATTAATGCATTCAGTCTTTCACCCACACTTTGAATCATAATCAGCCACATTGGGATACCAATTAATGCGTACGCTATCGTCACAGCACGTCCGGCTAATGTATTTGGTATTGCATGACCATAACCAATCAATGCGAGCACGACTGTTGCATAGTAGAACGATCCGATGAATTTCCATTGTTTCTTGTGGAATTGTAAACGTAGTTGAACTGTATGAGTAAGATTTCGAAATTCTTGATCACTGATATTGTGTCTTTGTTGAAAGGAAAGAATTCGCGCTGTTAAATTCTCATGACGAAGAGACTCATCAGCTGATTCAAGGCGATCAAATATAGCTGCACCGATAACTAGATAAACTAGTGTTATGATAACATATGCTAATGTACGATAACTTTGTATTCGACGGGGTGCTGTCGAACCGGGCGTTAGTAACATGAAAATTTAATGAATGCAACTATAATAAAAAGATCAGTTCTTGTTATGGAAATCAAGGAAAAGTTGCCAAGATATGCGTAGTAAGAGCACAATAAAAATGTTCAGATTTGTTATCTGATTTAATAATCTAGAAGAGTAGAAATGTGCTATTCAAATATAAATAATAAATCATAAAACTGCGCAGTCGCTGGATCGCATTCTTCCACTTGTTAACTCTCTTATCTCGAACAGAATGACGAATACATGCCAACTACGAGCTAATCCAGTTCGTCAATTAAATACGAGAACATGAGACAGAAGCCTTCGACGATTAAACAACGTATAAACAAATCAATCAGTCAATGATAAGCAAAAAAAAGAAAAGATCTCATACTTCCACAGCCTAATTGTTATGCATATATATGTGAGACATGTTTATGCATAATTCGATGTTACTACAAATAGATGCAACAAAAGGAGGGAAAAACGGAAGTGTTCGGAATAACTGATTTCCAACTCGGCTGGTTCCGCGCGAAGTCGAGTGTAGGAGATAGCATATCAATGAATGACTGAAAAGTCAACACAAGAGTGAAAAGATGAAAACGTGTTTTTCGATCGAAAGTTCTTCTGATAATTGAATAAGACGAGTAAACAACCGTTCGTGATCTTTTCCTCGCTCTACAACCGAGTCCCTATATCCGTTATATAAATCATGCTAGTATAACTCAATCAATACTTACAACTAATTGAGAATCAAATCGAACGCCATATAGAGTGAACGACGACACCAAAATGAAGAGAAAAAGCCATAAAAACTTCCATTGCCATCAAGTACTCTTTTTCTCTAGGTGATGTCATTCGTTCTAAACAAAAGAAAAGGATCAACGAATAAAGCAAAAAATCAGAAGAATAGACAATAATTTGTTTAATAAGTCATGCAATTATATTTAGAAGATCTTCTACTCAATTATTAGCTAGTCACACATTGGCTTTTCTAATAAGAAAATGCCGTTTATTACTATGTTTTCTTCTTTTTCTTTTCTTTGCTATATTCATCATCAAACACATAGGATCTTAGCCGAGAATGGCAGGAGAAATCTTTCTTTTCCTTAGCTTTTCCTTTTCAAATGAACATGCAACAATAATAAAGATTAAAAAAAGCTAGGAAAAAGAAATGCGACACGAAGAAAGTTTTTCAGTTTTTTCTCCACGGTTGACTGCTGCTTTTTTTTCCTTTTTGTTCTAATGGGCTTCCAAAAATTGCGTCAGATTTCTCCTTTGTTTGTTTGCTTGTATCAATGCAAATGTATCAGTATGAAATGAATGGATGCCAATTAGCTCCGAACGTGCTTGTTTTATCTTACCAGACGTAAGAACCACTATTCAACCAGTCTCTGTCACAAGGGAACATGTTGTTATGCAGATATATCATGATAAAAGCTGTCTTATTCTTTCATATTGACTAAACAAGTTTGCCTTTTTTGTATTCGTAGTGAATAAAGCAAAAATATCACCGTTGTACCATTATCTCCATCTGTTACTCGACATTATTGAATGCAAAGAGATTCAACTTATCATGACAAAAACTCGAACGCATCATTTACAGGAAATCGAATGTGATTAATTGGCTTTCGAGAATGGCAAGATACTATCAGGCAAACACCGGAACAACATCATCAGTGCAAATGGAACGACCTGCTCGATATTCGAAATCAAGTGACTGTACAATTTAACTAATTCATATTGGCAAGAAAAGATTTGGTACGAATGTTTGGAATTTCAAAGGAAAAGAAAACTCAAGGCGATGTAATTTAACAGTTCAATGATCTATGAGAATTGTCTTTCGTTCACAATTGATTATACGCAGCCAAAATCCAACTCATGCGATTCTATCAGAAATCTAAGGTTTCCTTTTCGATATCTAAGTTATGGCCTTTGTATTTGATGAAACAAACGAACAGACAGCGATGAATTTTCTTTTGAGAAACAAAAATATAGACTGACAAAATGACAATATATATTTACAAGAGACAGAAAAACGATCCGTTAGGATTAAACATCATCGTAATTGCTCCGAATGAGCGGACTTTTGTGTATAAAGCCATTGATCAACGAATCCGATGGATCTTGTGTAATGATAAATCGATGAGTTTCGGAAGGTTGATGACGTTTCAAGTTTCGCAATGGTGTTGAATGGGATGACTAAATTAAAAGAAAGTTATGAGTCAATGAAATATGAAAAGAAAAGGCAAAATCTGATATCCTACATCAAATCGATGGGGAGTAGTTTGAGAATAATGAGAATTAGTTGCGATAGGTTTACAAGTTGGTACTGGATTCGTACAACATGATGACCACAGGCAAGAAATAACGGCGCCAATCAATGATAAAAGTGTTTGTACAAGTGCTAATGTAAATGTTATAAGTAGTGCAAGATTAACAAACGTTGCAGGCTCATCGAACGGTACAAGAAGTTGTCTAGAAGAATTGCAAAGTCAATGAAACAAAAACATACAAGAATGGAGAATAAATAAAAAGGAGAGAAAGTTTACATTGTAGGTATTGTCGTCGATGCCGTCGTTGTACTAAATGATTTCAAACGCGATGAAGAAATCGTTTGCCAATATTCAAGTGTATGAATAATAAGAAGACCGATGTAGACTGATGATGAAATAAAACTTATCAGCGATGACATACAAATGAAAATCGTCTTTGAAAAGAAAGCAGCGAAATGATATTTACAATCGACATATTTCATGTCACTTTACCATAAATGGGCGTTTAACTATGGCGTAGATTACACAACAAAGACATGGAATAATCGTCTAGAATGGAATATATGTGTGATTAAACGAAAGAAAGATTCAGTTTAATCAAAAGAAAGTAGCCCTTTGATACGACATGTCATTAGTCTTGAAAAAGTGCGAAGGACATTTTTGTAGCTAAGTTCTTTTTCGGTGTTCAGTGTCAGCAATTCATACTTACAAAGAATGCTGATGGATAAATAAACCAAAGGTGAATATCATTAATTGAATACGATGCCGGAAATAGATTGAGAAAATTTATATGAGTACCATTCTGTTTATTTCTTTCGATGACGTATCGTTGACCAATCGTTACTGCAATTTGTGTCAGGCCGGTTAAAAATAGAAATATACCATAGATCAGCAATGTTTCGGCTTGAGCGAGAATTTGATAAGTAGACTTGTGTGATGTCATTTGATGTCGGAATGAAGAAATGAAAGTACAGGAACTAAATGCAATCGTTGCCTGTTACGTCTTTACTGAGTCTTACTTAATGAACTTCTTTTTTTCTGCTGTCTATGTTCCTCTTTGTGCCTATACGATTCTTCTATGCATGAGTACATAAAAGAGAGAGAGAGAGAGGGAGAACTGGGCGTGTTTGGTGTGCGTAAGTAAGAGAGAAGGAGAGAATAGTCATTTAGTCTGAGGAGTAGCTGAACATGAACATTTGCAAGGAAGAAGAGAAGAAGAAATGAGATTGCCTTGTCAAGCAGTACGAGTAGCAAAACAGATTTCTTTTGTATCTTCGATCGAACTATAAAAACTAAGAAAAAACGACGAAGAAGAAGAAAACGATGAATAACGCATGTTTTTTTTTCTTTCTCTCTTCCATTAACTATAGTGTTCATCTCGAAGGAAAAAAAGGTGACAAGGACAATAGATATTACACATCCTTTCTTTTGCAACTAGAATACGGTGATAGAAAACGAAAGAATAAGATATTTTTTGAGCGTTCACCTGACCTATACGCGATCATCGATCATGTTTCGAAACGAACACGTACATTGATGGCGATGACAACGTTTGTTTAATGAACATTAGTCTTAATAGTTTTCACACATGCAGTAATCGACAAAAGAATCTCTTATTCATATTGCATGTAATCTATCATAGATTACCGAAGAGAATATCATAGGAAGAACTCCGATGAAAATCTTCTGTATAATTAACCAAAGCCAAGAAAAGTTTCGATGATTTAATTAGAGAAAGAGCTTATCTATCTCATATGGCGTCTCATTCGATAAAAGGTTTAGAGAAGAGAAAACTCAAGATTCCTGTTGGAAATAAGCTTTTTCATTTTCCATGTTCCAAAATAGAATTGCTCAATGGTCGTTGGAACATACTTCATCCTCAAGCATATGTCAGAATGGAATTGAATTTATTGATGAATGAAGGAGTTGTTGTTGTTCTTCTCCTCTTACATATCTCGTCAAGATGTATTGATTCGAGTGATTTTAACACGAAGCAATACATTTCTCATCGTTTGGTTTTATATGTTGACTTATCTTGACGACGAAGGTGTGGACATTCTGATTATTTTTTTAGTAAACGTTTTACTAATCAAGGCTATCGATCTTTATCTTGTGAAGAATAACATCTCCAAGTAAAACTCATATATATCGCCAGTAGATGATATCATCTTGATATGAAATGAAAACAGAGTATTTAGAGAACTTACGAATACGAAGAGCTGTATTTACCTTTGTCATACCATTATCATACTTTTCATGCGAAAGTATGTAGCCTATTGTTATCTTATCGCCGTACTGTAAAAAGGATGTTAACATAGTTTTCATTTTCTTTTGTATGAAAAACTCGATTTCATGAAAGTTATAGAGCTATTCTCAAGCCTTTTTTGTGAGTATTATGATCGAATAATCTTGTTGGCAAAAGTGGATTGATGATGGGTATTCTTTTTTCTAGTGGCATTTATTATATTACATCCACAATGTCAACAGATTACAGCGGTAAGCGAAGAACTATTCACCAAATGAAACAGACAGTTTTGAAGGAAGTCTTGATTGATTTAATAAATGATGAGTGGATATTGTTTTGCGACTGCTATGTCAAAAATGTTCTTCGGAGAATGCTCATTGCGATTGTATAATTGAAATTTCCGCGCTTCAAACATTTTCTACTTGCATTCGCTGACTCGAGTCGAACAAAGTCAAGTATCTTGTTGATACTCTTAATAAACAACGTTCTGTTCTCAGGATTCTACAACGGAAACGGCGATAGATACTTCAACTGCTGCAAAAACAGCTGAATCAACGGCTAAAATTGTGACTTCTGATGCAACTACTGCTAAATTACCAGCTACTACGGCACCTGTGGTCACAACAGAACCGACTGCTCCCATGCCAGTTACAACATTACGTAAGTCATCTTCTTTTTTCGAAATGATCATTTAAACCTTTGTTACATTCAATCAAACTAAACATTTATAGCACTTGTAATAACTACTGAGCCTGGTACGGGACCTACAGTAATGACAACATCCACCACAACTGTGACACGAACAACCAGAACAAGTATGTAAACTTAAATAGAAGTTAATAGAATGTTTATCGTCAATAAATTCACTTTAAAAGCAACAGCAAGACCCACGACAACCACAACAACTACTACTACCACTACCGTACTTTACACTACAGCACCACGTACGATTTCCCTATAGTTTATCTTTTCTAGTCAATTATTACTTTTTAGCACCCTCGAATCCAACCTGGGATGTTGTTGGAGGTCTAGCAGGTGGTCTAGTAGGCCTTGGACTAATAGGTACCATAGCCAGTGTATATATGTGTTACACAAACTCTCAACGAAATCTTGCTAGAAGTAGCGGGCGTAAGACTGGTGACGACTATGTTCCCCTACAGGCAGTATCAAGTTTCTAACAGACCCTTTTATATATTTGTTTCATTTACTTATCCTTTTTTGAAAATATATATTGATTTTTGTGTGCAATTTATTGTTTTTGCTGTACACAGAGAGAGAGAGAAAGAAAGAAAAAAAGCTCGCAAGAGATATAGAATAAAAAAATATAGATTACAAATATTTAATCATCATCTAATTCAATAACAGGAATATCATCTTGAACAGGTGGTGCAGACGAACGATCAATTGATTCTAAAACAAAATATAGGAAACAAAGTTCAATGTATGAAATGTGCAGTCGATGGATAAATTTACTTGTACGTGATCGATCATCATCGGAATCATCATTTGGTGAATGCTCAGCTTCTGCTACTGACTTTCCATTGGTAGTTTTAGCTGCTTGTGCTGCTTTATAAGCTTCTTTTTCGCGTTGTGCTCGTCGAGATGGTTTCTCTTCTCCTACGGGTTTCCATTGACCATTTGGTTCATATTCAATAGCTTTGGTATCCGATGGACATTTACTGATGACATCAATGAAAAATTGATCAACAAACAGATCTGTATATAATGCTGGTTTATTACATACAGGACAAAGCCAAGCTAAAATTCGAAGCATGAAGTGTCGCTAGACAAGTTCGCAAAGGACACAATGAATTCCTACTTGGCTTTTTTTCATTCATACGTAGATAGCCCTCCAAATCAAAACAATGTACATGTTTACATGTCAATGCTCGTCCGGGCATTCGCATTCGAATACGCATTGCTGGACAGTCGAGTGGCAACCGAAGTGATGTCGATGCCACTTCGAGATCATTGTCAGTTCCTTGCGGTGTTTGTGGGACTGATAAAATTTGTGTGATTGTGCGTTGAGTTTCAGTTGCTGGACGAATAGCTGATGGACGAGAGAGACGTGCTAATAGTTGAGGAACGGTTTTCCGTTCTGTTAGAAAAACAGCAGCTACGTAATTTGGAGATGGAGTCGAAACATCTTGTGTGTACCACGATATTTCGATCAGATTCGATATCAATGGACATAAACGACAATATTCTGTGATTTCAATCGGTCGACCTGGAATAAAAAGGAGAAAAAAAAACTTATGAACTATTTTCACTTTGTAGAAAATACCTGGTCGAATAACATCCGAATTTGGCTTTGCTGTTGGCTTTGGTTGAGGCAATGGAACAACACGATTATTCACAATAACATAAAGATTAGGTGGTAATTTGTCTGGCGCGTTAATACCACTATTCATTGAGTCGCCACCAATTGTTGTAAATCTCAACAAGATCTGTTTTCGATATTCTATTTTTGATTGATCCGTATTGAAATATGTCGATGTTGCCACATCTACATCAACATAGAAAACAAACCATGCCTACGAATCGTATCTCTTATTCAGACCTGATGCTTGTTGTGCTGATAACAAGAAATATAAATTGACTAAGGATTGCGGACCGTTGGTTGATTGTTTTGTTGATCCTACTGTATGCGGCGGAGAAATCACACATACATCTTCATTGAATGTAAATGGTGCAAAGCGAATATCGAGATTTTGTAGTTGATTGTTATGCACATGATGTCCTGTTCTGATTGTGTTGGTTGAATCTTTTGGATAGGGTATGGTAGGTTTATCACCTTGTCCAAAGCGTTTGTTATGCAATTCTTCGCATTTATCTCGAATTGTAATCGATGATTTAATCAGACTATGACAACGTTCGATGAGTTCCTGCCGTTTTCCTGTCCTTGATTGGCCAGCAAATGTTAATAATGTTTGTAAATCGTTAATAGACAACAATTGCAATTGTATGTAACGTTGTTCATCTGTTAGGGTATTCATGATCTGAAAACAAGACACAGGAGAGCCGTTTTTTTCTTCACTCTTTATCGAATTTCACATAGTGACTTTTTTTTTCGTTCTATCACCAATTAACAAGAAAGAAAAACAGAAAATATCAACAGAAAGAAAAACTGAATTAGTCATCGATAAGAATTACATCCGACAGTTCACGCGCTGCTGACGGTAACAACTGAATATTGGCTTTGCAATCAATTGAATGATGTGAATACTTCTCATCCATTTCATCATCTAAAATTATGTCGTGTACATCGGATACTTTGCGATAATTCTGTTCAATTGCTAACGAGGTTGATGCTAATGAAACAGGTTTCCAATTCAAATTACTATCAATTGAAATTTCATCAATGGTTTCATTTTCCATGGAATTCAATATCGATTCAGTATACGAGTCGATCTGCAGATCATCGAATAAGGCAGATTTATTACATACGGGACATATCCATTTACCGGCTTTTTCATTCAATGCTAAACAAAGAAAGAAGATTCATCGACGATTCTTTTTCGAATCCGAACATACTGATATAGTTGGTTAAATCGAAACATTGCAAATGTTGACAAGTAGTTGCTCTTGTTGGTAGTCGCAATCGTCGTTGGTCAATAGGACATCTCAATTTCAGCTTTTGATCACTAACTTCTAAGCCTAGATCACGATCTGTAGCTAACGCTTTCGCTACTAGTTTCGCTAGATCTTCTCGATAAAATCTCGCTGTTTTGTTTTTGATTTGCTCATATAAATCATCAATAGTCAGATGTTGAACGACAAAGATATGTAATGCAAATTGGGCATTGGAGTATTGAGAATGCAACGCGGTGTTTTCCGGACGATATGACCATGTTATCGAAACTTCATTTTTCAGCTCGGGATTAAACATACAGTAAGACGTGATATCAATTTCGCGTCCCACACGAATCAAATCGGGTTGTTGTCGTGGACAAGGCTTCGGTACTGGCAAGTTCGCTAAATTGTGCGAATTGATTTGCACGACTAGATTGGGTGGTAGATTATCATCGTATTTCCCGTTGGATATTGGCGGTTGATCAATTCGTACAAGACGCATGATCAAACATTTCGACGTTTTGTGTATATCAAGATCAGCATCGTAATCGTAAGATAGAGCTAATTGGTTACAAACCTCGAAAGGAATGAGAAAATCACCTTGATAAAAATATTGTTTACGATAATTATCGTAACGAAATATTTGATAAAGTTCTTGAATGCAAGATAAAGGACGATAGAAAGGTAAAGTTTTATGTACAACTTTTAATGCTGGCGTTGGTGATGAAGGAACCGTTCGTGGAATGTTTGCTGATTGTGGAACAGTAGGCGGAGGTGGTGGAAGCAGAATAGGAATTTGATATCGAACGTTATTTGTTGTAGAACCATTCGTGTGTACTGCTGGTGTTGATGGTTGTTGAACATATGCTTGTCGGGATACTATCGAAGGGAAGTATGTTGCCTGTTGTGGACGAGCGTTCGATGGTTGATGATTAAGAACTACGGCTGTTGCATTAGGTCGAACTAAATATTTTGTAAAACAACAAGTAAGAAAAATGTTTTTCTGTTAGGAAAGTACTTAAAAGGATGTATCGAGCTGTAGTAATTTAATCAGTAGCCGTTAGTATTTAGAAAAGCAAGGGCATAACGAGTTACCTGTTCTACGGAATTCCGATGGAGTATCTGCCTGAAGAGAACCATCATAGGTACAAATTTGACATGAAAGCATCGAAGAAGAGCATAGATATGACTCAATGTTTAACTTCTTTATGTCTACAGTTAAAGTTCATTAACGAAGAAAGATCATACCAACGTTCATATGTAATGAACTTAGAAATCAGAGGAACAGTAGACATCTTAATGATCTGTGTCAAGAGATACCGCAGATGTATACGATCAAAGATACAGTCTGAGAAGATCGTTACTTTTCTCGCGAATCAAAAAAGTTCTCTTACTTTGTCGTAATGGTTGCGAAACATTCGTGGCTGGTGGATAATGATAATTCGATTGAATATTATATTGAATGTTTTGTGGTGTATAATAATATGCTTGTTGTTGTTGTTGTTGCTGCTGTTGCCGTTGTGGTTGATTGTAAGAGGTCGTGTAATTTTGTTGCTGTGCTTGTTGTTGTGGTGCTAATGGTGCTCGATATGATTGCTGATATTCATTTGGAAAACGTTTTTGTCTCAATGCATAAAGTGTTTGTTCGAGATCGACTGAATAATCATTATCGATTAAAATGAAGCATTGTTGAATTAGCTGCACTCGTGAATGATGCTGAAATTGATTATTTAATGGTGTATTGGTTATTGCCTGAAAATGATTTGTTAGGAATAAACGTAATTGATTATCGGTTAACTCATTGACAACTTGTCGAAGTCGCGCACGATGCTCTTGTGAAAGACGTATAGTATTATTGTTTGATGTAGTTACCATCGACGCGTGCATAGTTTGTATTGAAGTTAAGAATGCTGCGTGAGTTGAGCAATGCGTATATACATCCGTCGATCACGGGCATAAATGAGAACAAGTATCTTGTTACATGTAGATAAAAATATGTCTCTTTTTTTGGGGAATAGTTCTTTGTATACAGAGACTATCTGACTAATCAGAATTAAACAAATTCGTTCGTTGTCAATTGATCAATTATATCATTTCTTTTAACTTGACTTTTTTTGAATACGGAAGGACATCTATAGACACAATGATATTTTCGAAAATCATTTCTTCAGAAGAAAACTAACAGGGAATTCGATGTCACGTTATGTTTTATTTTGAATTTTTATTGGAAACAACTTGGCTGTAGATGGCATTAGAGTTCAGATAACAGAGCCGCCAGTGACGTCCGCATCTGTTCTATCAAAGCGAAAGAAAAGAAGAGGTCGATATTATTATGGGGATATTGCCGGCAAACTGTTTTTCTTTGTGTTATTATTGATGATATATTAGAATGTTTTTTTTTGAGATATGATAGGTAGACAGATAGAGAGATAAAAAACTCGTTTGATAAATGCGAAATTAGACGATAATCAGCATGTTTTTATTTATCTAATGTTTTCATGGCAAATACAAAACGATTTCGAATTGAACGTCGGCTCTCACAGATAGAAAGCATTACCGAGTCCGACTTGATCGATATCATTTGAGTATACCATAGTAATGCTATCATCGATATTCCTTCCGAAGTCTCTATCGTCAACTAATCCTTGTAATCAAGAGAAATGTAAATATACATATCGTTGATTTGAGTTCTAATGCAAAATCTATTAACATCACTTATGTGAGAGACGATAACTCATATAATGTAAATGCAAACGTATGTTATCATGAGCACGTTGTGGTGATGAAAATAGTATTGCATATTTGTTTTATCGAAATGTGGAACATTATTGAAATACTTTCTAGTTTATTATCGAGATATCTATATCTACAACTAATTAGTGTATATATATATATATATATATATATATGTCATCCTTGTGTCTATATATTATATTAACAAAAGTTTCAAGTATGCTACAGAAGAATAAAACTTCTCGTTTTGAAAAAGATCTCGACAAGCTGTTCGTTCGTTACATTACATGACAACATTGGGAGTTTTTAGATCTAAGACATGGATTTTCATCGTCGTAAGGTTGCCAAGATGATTTTCGTCTTCGTAATGATTGAGGTAGTTCAATTGTTAGAATTTGATTTTCATCTAAACGTGCTCGTATACGATCACGATCGATATGTTTCGGTAATTGATATTGTCGATAATATTCTTTATTAATACGGTGGCCAACTGTCTCATCACTATGTTGTGCTGTGACTTTCAATAGGCCGTGTTCGTTGATTCGAACAGTGATGTTTTTCGGTCGATATCCATGTAGATCAAATGTAAGAATGTTATCATCCGTAGTTAATAAGTTATTTTGACGTGGTTGAACTTCGACGTCAACACGGAGCCGTCCGTAGTTATCGAGTGTGTTTCGTATAAGTTTGCTTTCGAGATTCGGTCCGCCAAGATTGTACTCCCGTCGAAATTCTTGACATAGAGACCGACAGGCACGGATGCGTAGGCGACCGTTTGTGTCAAGCAGGACAGTTATCTGTTCAGGTTCGTAGCCAATTAAATCAAATTCATAGGAATAGACGCGATAACCTTGTCCATAATCATGTATTGAGTAACGATTTGTTGCTGGAGAAAAGCGATTTATGTCATCCATGATTGGTAGTAATAATGAAGGTGTCATCGATGGAAATCTATGAACAGAAGGATGAGTTGAATGGAAGACTTTCTCTTAGCAAAAACACGATGATATTAACACACAGAATAACTACAAATAACCTTGACATTATTTTCTCGAGAGAAAATCAATGTTGGCCTTGCATCTCGCCATATTCATATCCATATAGAACCAAGAATAAATAGAAGAAAGAAGAAAATCGATAGCAGACAAGACGAGTTATCCATGATATACTGCTGTTATCGGTTACAACACTGATGATTGTTTGACTACATATATCAAGAGAATTTTCTCTCGAAGACAAAAATGATTAGGCTAATTCGAATCTTCGAAAAAGTCAAATAAACATATTGATTGATTTCAATGAGCTGACTTCGTGTGACATGTTCGATAATCATGTCATCGAAAATTATCGTTGATTACGTATGCAATTGTGTCAAATCCTTTTTCAAAGAACGAGTTATTATTGAGTATAGAGCGCGTTTTCCTTCTAAGTAATGTTTTCGAGCACATACTCAATTAGTAAATCTCAAAAAGGCGCTTGTTACCATATCAAAGTAAATTGTTTAATCATTCTGAGCATTTTCATTCAAAATATCAACGGTTGTTTCGCGTCAATTGCATTGAGTATATAATGCAAGTCATTCTCATCATTACTCTCCTGTCAACAGTATTTTTCTCGAACAGTGAAGGTATAGTCGAATAAAGCTAGTTTGAATTATCATTCTATGTCGGTATGTTTGTAGGAGCTATTAATTGGATTGGAACATTTACGAAAGATCCAGGATGCGATACAAGTTTGTGTTGCTGTCCGAAGAGTGACTTGGTCATTATTGATGGCAGTAATAAGACCAACGCCACCATATCAATCGAGGGTGCTTGTCGAAAACCGAATGGATCACTGATCTCGTTTGATATAGATAAATCGGCAGACAATGTGACTGTCCAGGATGTTGGAATTTTTACTGTGAAGGAAAACATGACAGTCACGTTATTTTCGGTAAACATAATTTATATATATATATAGATAGATGATTTCTGTTTCGAAATTTAGTGCTACACCGGAGAGTTTACCATTCGAATAATGTAGTTCAGTTAAATAGTCTTCTGAGGTCAATAGCAGCTCAGAATATTGCCTGAGAGAAAGCGAGACACATCCGTGTGCATAATCGAATCTAGTTTTTTTAAACTCAATTACAAACTTTGTTGTCATTCTTGTTTCATTCATATTTTGTAGACGTCTACACAGACGGCTTGTCCCGATATTATTATGAGACGTTCTTCAACACTCATGCTTCCTCAGTCTACTGGTAGTCCCAAACCTGGTGATGTTACTATTGATAATCAAAATCAGGGCAATGGAGCCATATTACATCAAGTTTCATTTGTTTTCAAATTCGTTTCAAGTGTCGTCGCATTTCTTGTGATGAAAACCATTTAATTAACAATGATGTTATAAACTTTGAAATTCCTATTCTTCAGAAATACGTATTATGTTCGACGAGAAAAGGTTATTTTTGGTTTTTGTTTCGAAATAAAAATATAATAAAATAGCCGAGGAAATCTTTCAAAAAATTCAACGAATTTTTATTATACAAGGAGAAAGAGAATACAAAGTTTTATTTTGTATCACAAAGAAGTGCAACACCTCGCAGCGTCCAAACATCCGGACCAGCTTTATCACCCGGTGGACATTCTAATTTAAGTGTACAAACGTAATTTCGATCTGTGCGACGTGGTTTTTTATAAACTGGTGCATAGTAAGTCGGACGACGATCTTGTTTTGTCGGTCCCATTCCTGTGCCGAAATCAGCTTCAGCAGAAATATGTATTACAGGCATTGGATGTGTCAAAACTTTTTCGTTTGCTTTCAGTTCATCAAGTGCGCCATTTTTTATTTTCGCGCCTTCAATATATAATCCATAAACATAGAGACCTTCACGTGGTGGATCTTTCAATGCATCGCGATCCATGCGAGTCACCTTATTAGTAAGAACGACATTATCAAGTGACCAACCTGAATTAGCTCGTGTCACTTCCTAGAGAAATGGATATGAAATAACATTGACGAAGAGACCTTTATCGAAAAACTAATTCGAAATTACCTGACGCATAGCGGTTAAGAATCCTTGTGGATTGAAAAAGCCGGTCATCCAAAAAGCGATAGGTCGTGTATCTTTCTCAAGTTTCAGCCATGAACGATATTGATCGTTTCGTGCGTATAAATCAGTAAACCAAGCGCCCAACGTTGATGATTCCCATGACAATTTGAGCCAAACAGTGGGAATTTTCGCATCGTACATGCGATCCAATGCATCACGCAATTCTTCGTTCATAACAATAGTACCATCGATAGCTAGTTTCAAATCGACTAACGTGTGTCGTACGGCATTAAGCACACGTTGAAAACGATCAATTTCTTGTCGAAGAAAGATATTCATTGGTTCAAGTTTCGATAAACGTTCTTTCACTTCATGAGCAATGTAATCTGGTGGGAGTTTTTCCAGTGTTTCAGTTGCCAGGCGATAGATGACAGCTTCCCGTGTTTCGCCTGCACCACCACGAGCTTCTTTTGGTTGAATGCTCAGAATTGTATCGAGTACTTTTCGAGTAGTATCTTCTTGATATCTAATCACGAGGAAATCTTTCGTTCTTAGTCAAACTCAACGTTTAAACAAACCTGTCATTAGCTAGCGGGCTTAAACCGAACACTTTTCCACTGTCGTAGTTAGGCATGGAGTCTATATAATCAAAAACATCTTCTATACGGGCCATGCGTGGTATACGATAGGTTTTATCTTCAAAATAGAACGCCGGATCGAACATATCGTCACGAAACCAACATTTAACATATGTTTTCAAGAGTCGTTTATCAAAGTCGTCTGTGACACGTCCTACAAATACACATTAAGCTTTACTTTTCAATCTACATTCGTTTTCTCACCTCCGTATTGTACTTCGGATATCATGTAGTGAATTGTTTTCCATTGCATGGACTAGAAGACAACAATTCACTCTAAAACATTTATTATCGTAGAAATCCTACTTTGGATACATCCATTTCATCGAGATAGTTTTGAATAAATTGAACTGTTGCATTGAAGTCCGATTGATTGAATTCGTATGGAATGTTCCATCCTAGTGGACCAAATTTTCGTCGTTCTTGAACAATTGTATGTAGAAATGCGACAGCGTACAGTAATGGACGCCATTTCTCATGTGAATTCGATTCTAATTGTTGTTCTTGTGTTAGGCCAGCGAACGTTCGTTTGAGACCGGCTTTCACACCTTGTGGCGGTTCAGCGGTATATTTAATCGAAATTTGAAGAAGACCAATCGGAAACTTTGGATGAACTTCAGTTGTTATCCAAAGACGAAAGTCTGGATGAATACGATCGGTATTATCGGTTAGTTGAATTAGGAATTCTTCGCAAAAATCCAATGACAAGTGACAGTTCTGCAGTAAAACCCATGAACCATTGGAATACGCTTGAGCTAACAATCGTCTAGCATGAACTTCCTGTCCTTGTCCCATGGATATTGCATTACAGTCAATGGTCTTCTTTTTGGCCAATGTTTCAATTTGTACAGTGGGATCGGAACCCATGGAGAGAAAACATATCATTGGTGAGCATTTATCCGATTCATCCCACATTTTTTCCATGTCAAGAACAACACCTTCGCCGTATCTCGGCCCCAATGAATCGATGATATAGTCGTTCGCAGCTTTAACAAAACGTGCTGGTGTAATTGAACGAATGAGAAGTAGACGACGAAATTTATCTAATTGAGAATCCCAACCATCAGGTAATTCAGCGCGTTCAGGTTCGTCTTTCTACAAAATTTCAATTTCATTTCGATGAATAAGTTTATTTTTGGTACGAGCTTTACCTTAAACCATGCATCCCATGCAGGGCCAGAGCGATTCAACTAGAATGAAATCAAAATTTCGTTTCCGAGGACGAACAAAGACATATGCGAAAATCTTACTGAATTCAAAATGTCACTAAACTGGAAGAGTTTCGATAGTTCGACAAGATTCAACCAGGTATCATTTTGTAACCATTTGTAACTCGGTTTTGGCGGTGCTAGAATATGAGAATAGATAACAGAGCTCAACCAAATTATGCAGAATACCTGTGCTTGCATCGATTGATGCACCACCTTTGATCAATGTTTGAAATTCATCGTATTTCAGTCTTCCGGCTTGTAAATCAATCTTTAATCCCAACAACAACGTAAACATGAACTTATGCTCTTCGTAATAACCGCGAACAGCATATTTGAACATTTCATAGGTTAAAAACTCCATGATGTTTGTAATACGTTTCGATGTTACAGGTGACTGAAATGATAAAAAAATTTCTCAATAATTAGTTCCAATTGGAAGCCAGCAGAGCTTACTTTTGGTGAGCGTTCGAGCGCTTGATCGAATAGTTGGAGAAATTGTTTCAGTGAAGTTTGGTACATCACATTTACAAGAGACATTTCAACGATGAGAAAGTAGATGATCGAACCACGTGTAGCAACAGGTCGGTACTCTTCACGAGCAATGTTGATCTTTTGGCTTGTTTCCGTTGCAATTTGAAGTTTTTGCTTCACATCACTCGAAGTCACTTTCGTTGTTTTCAATGTTCGAATAAGATCATCGTCATCAACTAATGAACCCTATAAGAAAAAGATAAAGATAAACTCATTTTAGGGATATTTTGTGTCTTACTTTTGAATTGCTCAATCTCATCAGAAGATTATCTTCTAGTTCTTTCATGCGTTTATTATTTGCTTGAATATCTTCTAACATTTTCACACGTTCACCTTCCAGTTCAGCTTTTTCTTTCAGAATTGTTAAACCTAACAGCTGATCTTCTAAGCCTTTGATTGTCACAGTGAAATCAATCACGGACGTTTTCGCCGAAATTTCCGGTGTAAACGCTGGATTCGCTAGTTTTGTCGTAATATATAAATTGAATCCTTTCAGTATATCAACTTCTTTATCACCAACTTTA